CACAGACTCCACCTACAGGTCAGACAAGGAGGAGCCAAGCCACCGGACAAAAACTGCCTGGCGATCAATGGCTGGTGGCGACCTGTTCCTGCATTGACCGCTAAACAGAGTACAGCGCCGGGCCGTGCAAGGACAGGTCACCGGCTTGGCCCGGGGTTACCACGTGTCTTCCTGTGCCACGAGCTTGACTTAACCGCGAGCCCTTCAGGCTTGGGGCCGTAACAGTGAAGATCATTGGTCGGCGTAGGCCATCTAGAGGTCTTGTTGGCCTTTCTGGGACCCGTCAGAAAGTCACTGGTTGCGACCGACTTCTTTTTCATGTATTTTGAGAAAAGGTGTTTGTTTTAAGCACACTGATTTTGTAATGTGAAAACACATGACTCTTGCTGCCGTCCAATGTTTTTTTTTTAAATATAAAATACCTGATACGTTGTCAGTACGAACCACATTCAAACACCACTTTTAACTTTCCCGGCTGGCGTTAACAACAATGGATTTCCCCAACTTTCATTTAGTGTTAAAAAATGCTGCCCGTACGTCCGTCCGTCCATCATCTATCTATCTATCTATCTATCTATCTATCTATCTATCTATCTATCTATCTATCTATCTATCTATCTATCTATCTATCTATCTATCTATCTATCTATCTATCTATCTATCTATCTATCTATCTATCTATCTATCTATCTATCTATCTATCTATCTATCTATCTATCTATCTATCTATCTATCTATCTATCTATCTATCTATCTATCTATCTATCTATCTATCTATCTATCTATCTATCTATCTATCTATCTATCTATCTATCTATCTATCTATCTATCTATCTATCTATCTATCTATCTATCTATCTATCTATCTATCTATCTATCTATCTATCTATCTATCTATCTATCTATCTATCTATCTATCTATCTATCTATCTATCTATCTATCTATCTATCTATCGGTCTATCTATCTATCGGTCTATCTATCTATCGGTCTATCTATCTATCTATCTATCTATCTATCTATCTATCTATCTATCTATCTATCTATCTATCTATCTATCTATCTATCTATCTATCTATCTATCTATCTATCTATCTATCTATCTATCTATCTATCTATCTATCTATCTATCTATCTATCTATCTATCTATCTATCTATCTATCTATCTATCTATCTATCTATCTATCTATCTATCTATCTATCTATCTATCTATCTATCTATCTATCTATCTATCTATCTATCTATCTATCTATCTATCTATCTATCTATCTATCTATCTATCTATCTATCTATCTATCTATCTATCTATCTATCTATCTATCTATCTATCTATCTATCTATCTATCTATCTATCTATCTATCTATCTATCTATCTATCTATCTATCTATCTATCTATCTATCTATCTATCTATCTATCTATCTATCTATCTATCTATCTATCTATCTATCTATCTATCTATCTATCTATCTATCTATCTATCTATCTATCTATCTATCTATCTATCTATCTATCTATCTCTATCTATCTATCTATCTATCTATCTATCTATCTATCTATCTATCTATCTATCTCTGTGAGTGAGCGTGTGTGTGTTGAAACTTGAAGTGTCCCATTTGCTTGAAAATAAAGGGACCCCTAAGGTTTATTAATATGTTGCCAGTTTATTTCACTTGCAAACTGAGACTTCAGTTTTTGCAACGGAATATTTTCGTTACTCATTTCTCTGAACTCACCGGAACGTTGTCGTCTTTATGACTAAATCCCCCGAGTTTCGAACCCCTAGTGAAAGTCTTAGACTCCCAGCGTACACTTCACCAAACCACTCTAGCATCGATCCGACCGAAATCATGAGACGATGATTTAGGCATATAACTCGGCAGATTCGCATTATCTCCCCATGTCCCTTCTGATTTCTCATTAAAAGAGCTGAACTAACATTTAACTATTAAATTTATCCGTTCAGCAATGATACAAGGCAAAAGATCACATACAATGCCAAGATATCCTAAAACAATATTGACACAGAATAACTTATCATGTAATGCCAAGGTCGTGTTCTTTCTAATCCAGGAATTGATAGATTTTCTGAAAGAACACGTCGCGCAACCTGATTGGACGAGAGCTGAGAGCAAATTTGAAGTAAGGAAAGTTCGGTTTTCACTGTGAAATTTCTGTCAACAGACAAGCATGACGTGTATCGTAGATAACAATCAATGGAAGAAAACTAGACTGACTGTACGACGCCGCCATTAAAAACATATCGACATAATTATTATACGGAGCTATTTTTGTAGAGGAATGATTTTCTCTGGGAGCGTTACACGTCTCTCTTAGGAAGTTAATGTTTTTGAAATACGAAAAAAAAGTGCTAGAGATAACTATTAGGAAGTTCTACTGGTATTTGTGTCTAACAATCTCAAACGATGGTTCTGGATGCATCTTTGTACACGTGTATTTGACCTGTAGTTTCGCTCCTAGGTGGGTCATTAATTTGGCAATTGACAGTGGAGTCACACTGTGCTGGGTGTAGCAATATCCCCGTGTCAGGACTGTCAACGGATGTTAGTATTTCTGTCACGAATAAACTCCAGAGGTCGCAGATTTTTTTCTTAAGTGCACACGACTCCTGAGAGAATGAGAATTGTTTGATTTGATTTATTTTATGGAGAGGGCGGCTGGTAGTGGTAGTGGCTGTGGGGTGGGGGGGGGGGGGGGGGGGTAATATTGTCTCGCAGTAGAGTTTTGTAGTGACTGAACCTAGTCAGACACGTCCTTCCCTTCATTTAGTATATTTTGTGATTTAGTACGCTTTTTGAAAAATTTATTTACTTGATTGACTTTTTAACATGTAAGAACTCGTCATCACACAATGTATATATATATTTTTTTCTTCGCTTGTGTCTATAATGTGTGTATGTGTGTGTGTGAGCGCTCGAGTTTGAAGACCAAGAAGAATATAATATAGGCATTTTACCAGATCTGTGCTTTGAATCTATCTTCTTCTTCTTCTTGGGGCTCACCGACTGCAGACTTCAGCGGAAAGTTCTGGTTGTTCGTCCACATTTCGACTTGAGTCTTGTTGCTGAACTTGAGTTTTGAAGGCACATCTGTGTGATAGGTCTGGCCTTTTTAATGCAGACAACTAGCTCCTCGCTTCCTAGATGCAGTCCAAATTCGAAAGTAAACACCCTTATTAGTCGACTCTTACGACATGCTTGTTAGGGGACAGTAGATCTTTATTCCAAACACCACATCCCCCATCCACAATGGGGCCCGGAAGTCACACGATAATGTACGTCGAACATGACTGGTTCATAAACAGCACTATGTCTCGGAATGCACATTAAATTAAGACCATAACCTTTTCCCCTGGTTCCAACAACAACAAAAAAAGTTTTTGGGATATTTCGAGGAGAGACACGATTCTGCAATTCGAACATGACTGGTTCATAAACAGCACCATGTCTCGGAATGCACATTAAATTAAGACCATAACCTTTCCAGTGGTTCCAACAACAACAAAAACAGTTTTTGGGAAATTTCGCGGAGAGACACGATTCTGCAGGAGCAGTGGTGGAAATGAGCTAAGTAGACATCAGACGGACCCTGACGATGAGCAAGACGTCAAGAGGAAGGATGAGAAATTAATGAAGATTGTTAAACTGGTACTGACCGTAGAACCAGTATTTGCTGCGAATCATGAGTATTACTCAGTGCGGGTATTCATTTTGACTTTATTATTTCTTCAAAGTAATTTTCATTGTACTTTTTTTCAAATATGTCCTCCGTATTAAAAGTATTCTATAAAATCACGCCTCTGCTGCTTCGTCGTAACTGTATCAAATTTTCTGACTGTACATGCTTCACTTTAATACATGGTTTAGTCTGGTAGTAGTCTGGTAGTCTTAGTTTCAGCTTCATAGCAAACGGGTCGCCCCATCTGTGCTCCGCTCCTGTGCCAACGAAAAACACACAGAATGTTTATCACAGTATTAGAATTGCAGTTCATCATTGATGGTAGCAGAAGTCGCCAACAGATCAGCAGTTGCCCACGCGATCAATTTTAATCACATACGGGCACTACAACACTGCACGACAGACATCGCGCCATTTTCTGAATCTACAATTTACACCAACACGTTGGTCACAGTCGAAAAAACATTCCAAATGCAATCCGCAGCTCACAGGGTTACGCCATGCATTCAACTCAGAAGCTGGGCGACGAAACTATATCCAGTCTACAAATGGAGCAAAAATGCATCGGCCACCGTCCAGCAGAAGCAAAAAATGTGCCTCTGTTTCGAACAGTGCCGCAGCCTAAAGTCCATTTTGACCGGAAACCGGAAATACATGGCTTTCTTTGTCAAGGCATAATAGCGACATATATATATATATATATATATATATATATATATATATATATATATATATATATATATATATATATATATATATATATATATATATATATATATATATATATATAATATATATGAGTATACATACAAACAAAGCACCAGCTCACATGTGACTACTGGTTACTTCGTATCCATTTTGTGATGCCCCTGTATAACTGTGACATATGGCTAAAGGGTTGAAGGGGTGTTTGGGATTTGTACCTGTTTGATTTTCATCCTTGAAATGTTAATTCTACGGACTGCAATGCTGGAAATTAAAAGCTAATTATTTTTTCTCTGTCTAGGTTCCGGGGCCCTGTTATAGGGAAAACAAGCATGTCGGAGTGCATCTGCCTGAGAGGCGAGGAACCAGCAGTCTGCATACAAATGAATCAGATCTGTAAAACGGATGCACACACAACACTTAGGTTCTGGAACAGGCCTGAAGTCCAGAAGTGGGTAAACAACCAGAACTTTTCACCAGAATTTAGAGCTGGTCAACGCGAAGAAGAAGAGAAGCCAAATTTGAAGAAGAAAAAAATATGTATATATTTACAAACATACAGACACATGCTCAGGACAAACAAGAGAAAACCTTACCTGAAGAGAACAGGGCAATGGCCTTGAGACAGCTATACTCGGCTGAATCCACATGCAGAGCCTTCAGCTTCTCCACCTGCTCCTGGAAAATTCGTATGTGGTCCATGAAAGCAACAACCCTCTCGGCCGCCATAGGACTGGCGTGAAGTCCGGCAGCGGCTAGCAACGGTGCTACGTGAAGAGGCATTGAACACTGAGCTGCGTTGAGAACAAACAGCTCAGACCAGCCTAGTCTGAGCAGGGCCACCTGATCTGTTACCTGGAGTTCTGGGAAAAATGGTATGTTCCTGGCCCATTCTACGGCCGAGAAGAGAAGACGGGCTGCCAGTTCGCAGATGTTCTCGATACCCATGATGTTGGGCTGCTGCATGCAGTTGCCGTATCTGGACGTGGGATAGGGCTCGGCCCTCAGTAGCATAGAGATGAAGCTGGACAAGTACGTGTGGCCGTTCAGGGGGTCGCCGTTGTGGTAGGCCAGCTGACCGTGGAAAGGATGCTGAGTGGGTGGGATGCGGCCTCTTTGCACAGCTTCAGGAGCGTTAACAGAGAGAGAGATAAAAGCATACAAACTGTTGGTGACTTTCAACATGTGAGATTAAATTAAATCAGAACTCAAATGTAGATGTGAAGATAACTATCAAACGAATGTATATGCAACACTTTTAACAGGCACATACTGTTTTTAACAGTACTTTGTAACAAGTACTAAGTTGTAACTAGTACTAAGTTTTACTAAATGTTTTCAAACATAATGTGAAACAATGTTAATTTAAACATAATGTTCCTAAATGTGAGATGTAACTATAATCACTTTCTTACATTGTTCTCAAAATACTGTGTAACAGCACCAACTTTCATCCAGATTTTTTTAAATAGGATGTGCAACAAGAATAAGTTTTAAATGTTCTTAAACAAACTGAGTAATACATAATAGCTTTTCACCCAGTGTTCTCAAAAATACCGTTAAACAATGCTAACTTTTCACTTTTTCTTCTACTTCTTCTTATTCTTAAGAATTCCGAGCCTTTGGGGTTCATTGCTGAAGATATTACACACCTCCATTTATCTCTCTGGTTGGCCTTCTCTTTCCAGTTGGTGACACCGGGTGTTTGCAGGTCTGATTGGATACTATCTCTCCAGGGTCTTCTTGGTCTGCCTCGTGGTCTACAACCATTCATCTCCCTTGTGTGTCCAGTTTGTTTTCTTCTCTGTCATCTGACATTCTCTGAACTTTTCACTAGGTTTCCTTTATTGTGCTGTGCTGACCAACTTCCAGTCAATATTCTTAAATAAACTGTGTAATAATAATAGCTTTCACTCAAGTGTTCTATGTGTGTAACTAACAGATTTACAGTAACTGCCTGTAAAACATGTGAACTGGCATGCAATGTTCTTTACTATACTAATTATGAAATATACTTATTGTGAAAAACTACGACCTGGCTGACAGTGTTCTTAACTAAACTGAATTGTGCGAAAATAACATTATACACTTATAAATCTCAGCGGTGATATACTGCATAAAAGAAAGGAACAAATGTATGTGTGTGAATATGTATAAGTTGGTGAATGGCGTGCATTGAGTTATTATACTTTCTAAGTTATTTACTATGATGTGGACAGACGGAAGCGAGGAATCGACGTCAAGTGCAGGATATGAGATAGACGACAAACAGGTTGGCAGATAGTCCGATCGACTGACTGACCAACCGACAAACAGACAGAAGAAACGATTGAATAAGACAGTGACATACTTCAGTTCTAGTGAGAAACGACATTTAGAAAAAAAAAAAAAAGCTGTAGCGCAAGGACATACACAGACTGTGTTCTTGTTGGTAATATAACTGTATCCGCCTAGCGCTTATCGCCCCCTTCCAGATGCCGCCTTTCAATGTCTATGTACAAAACGGACTGTGCCTGTTAACGGCGATGTGTGTAGCCATGTGATCCCTTCCCGCTGCAAAATAATCTGATTTAATAGAAAGAGGGGATATCAGTCATTGATAACGGCAATATTAGCGTTACCCTACCCGTCTCGCACGATAACCTGCTGGGGTAGACTTGCTTATTGCAGTAGAAGAAAAAAAAATCTCCCAACTCGAATTTCAACGCTCTGCCTCAGAAATCAAGCCCGGGTGGCATAATTTTAGGGAACTGACATATAAAGGTATGGTGTGTCATTTGTGAGGTAGATGTAGCAAATGTTTTGTAGGTAAAGTATGTTGGTGTTTGGTACCAATGTCACTTAAAACCCCTTTAAATAATACACGCTCCCTAATCTGAGCATCGAGGAGAATTGACTTATAAACAGCATCTTGTCAAAAAAAGCTAAAGTATTTTGGTCGCGATGAACGTCATCGTCGGCTGTAGGGAACGAGGATAGAGATAGTTTCAGGAAAACTAGACAGAGGCAGACCTCCACGAATGTGGATAAAAGACATTTAAGATGCACTGGCTATGAAAGCACATAGAGCTGGAGAATATGGTAGAGAAAGTGAGACTTTCAAGCGTGCCGTAAAGTAAGCAATGTTCTGTACAGGACATGTTCACTGATGATAGAAAAAGATTCCACCACCTTAAGGATTTTGAACGTGGGTCTCTAGAATGAGAGATCGCGCTCTTAAATGCTCGACCAGCCGCTCCTCACTACTAACTTGAACTAAATATTTGGAAGCAAGTGAACAATACGGATGAGAGAATATTTCCTTCTGGGGAGAATGGTGCATCTAGGAGTTACCAGGGGATTTGATGGCACTCTACAATTGGAGTCAAGGTCAGAAGGACATATAATCAAACGGCTACTGACATCACTGGAAAAAGAACGGTTCGCTGGCTGCTGAAGATGAGGAAAGAGCGCTTAATGAAATGTCACGAGTTCTGCGATGTCATTTCTTAAGTCCAATCAGCTTAACTCAACAGACTCTCCAATAGCCCTAGGGGGTAGCTTAAGCGCGGTTCTAGGATCCACCGAGCTGCAAAAACAATGGATGCCAACGATCTCTCCATGAAATAAACTACGCATATAAAGGTATCAGACAATTCCATATAACACTGAGATATATCTCAGAGAGATTCACGTATAACATCACAGCCTCCAGTTTCGAGAATGGAGGTGGAGACAGTAACAGCAGCTTTCTGATAGCTTGAGAGGAGCTCAACCCAACAAGGTATTAAAGACTGGAGAAAACACAGGCAGACTTTTCATTAGGTTGTTACTAGTGCTTTTGACTCTTCGCTGGCTATTGAGGTATTAGGCGGAGCAGATGCGATGCAATGAGGTCAGTTCTTGATTCATTCATTCTTCATTTATCAATTCCTAGTAAATATGGAAGTGCATCACTGCTTTCAGATGAAAGTGTAGATGACACTCGCGCGCGCGTGCGCGCACACACACACACACACACACACACACTACATTTCTATACTAAACGGGCACAGGCAAACACCTGCAGTACGCTAAGCTATAAGTCCAGTAAAACAGTCCTTGAATAACAGAACGTATCCTCTAGTCACCTGTTTGACATCAAAAGCCCTAATTACTTATTGGCATAAAACATTTCTGTCCTAGTGTGTTGAATATTCTTTACACAGATGGAACACAGTCGCCGTGTCCATGTGATTACTGTAGTTCACATCACAGATGGTAGGTAACCTGCGTGGTTGCGGTGGCGCTGTTGTATTCTTTGTACTGGTGAAAGACGAACATGTTTACTATTTAAGGTCACGGAGTTCTGCAGTCGCGGGACGCATAATTTATCGCCTGCAGACGAAGCTGCTCGTTGCTGTGAACTGAAATTTGAATTTTCATCTTCTTGGTTTCCTCTGCCGTGTAGGGGATCTTGTATTTCCATCTGTTTCGATCTCGTTGGCGTCCCTTTCGAAGTAAAATTTATTGACAATAAGGTAGTTTTAAGAAGACTACTGAAGAATGTAGGAATCGACATCAAAGCATTGCAGGCATGACAGTGGATGCTCCTCTTCCGGCAAACAATGTGTTATCTTCTTCTCTTCTTCACGTTCACCAGCTGTAAACTCTGGCGGAAAGTTCTGGTTGTTCGTCCACTTCTGAACTGCAGTCCTGCTCCAGAACCTGAGTGTTGCGTGTGCATCAGTTTTACAGATCTGATTAACTTAAATGTAGACTGCTGGTTCCTTGCACCTCAGGCAGATGCACTCCGACTTCAAAGGAAGCTCCCCAATTAGTCGACTCTTACGACATGCTTTTGGGTAGGCAGTGGGTCTATTCTTGTTTTTCCCATAATGAGGCCCCGGAACTCACACGGGGAACAATGTGTTATGATACGGATTCTGATGGCAATTGTAGCACTCCAGTTTATGCGTTGTAATCTTCTTCTCTTATGCCTTTGTGTGTGTGTGGAATCCACCAGTTAATCAGGTACCGTCCCACAATGAATGTTGACTGCAATGGCTCTCCAGCATGTCTTAGTTGGACACTTTCTCCGACTGCTGTTCGTCCTTCTCTTGGTGTTGTCATCCCACTTATAACCGTGTCTACCTCTTGCTCTCTTGTCCTCGACCTCTCTCTCCATTATAGTTATTAAAAGCGAATTATGTTTTTCAATCTGGCCACAATACTTCAGTTGCCTCTTTTTCATTTCTTTAAAAAAAAATCCCATTTAATTCTCAGTCTTGCCAGAACTTCTGCTTAGGACAAATAAATCCCCAATTTGCATTCAAATTCTATTAATTCTTCTTTTTCTTTTTTTTTTTTTTATCTTCTTTTTCTTGTTCGCTCGACCTTACAAACTGTTGTAGTTTACAGCTACGCTACGTTTTCTGCTTCCTTCTGCCCAGCACATCATATTCCGTCACAACAGTACATAGTCGCGTCTTACTGCATGCTTTATAGGAGCACTGAGTCTGTTTTTTTCTTTACAAGAATAAGACATTAAAAGCCACATGGGGGATCAAGCAGTAAAGTTCTTGGGTTTATCCACCTTCTTTAAAACAAAGTGGTTTCGTAGGGAATTGTCTGGAACTGACAGTCGGTTCTGCACTTTTTTTCAAAAGCGACCTTGGCTTCCAGGTCGACTAGCTTTAAATGAGTACAAGTGGAGTCCAGGGAAGTAAATGCAGCCGGTGTGTTGCTGACTCTATAACTCACCAAGTTCCAATTGATCTATAGAATATATGTCTAGCCCTGTATGCCCGGCAAGCATGAGGTGATGAGGTAAAGGGACATTAACTTTTCTTATAGAAGGCGGGAATAGAACTTGCTTACCCACTTTATTAGGCAGTGAACTAGAAAGACAATAGAAAATAAAGGTCGAGAGGATCACCTCATTGCACTAGGTTCCATACCAGATAACTCGGTCTCTCTCCGCAAAATGACTTCCCAACTTGAAAAGCGGCGAACAAAACACGAACTCCGTAGATTTGGCGACTATTCATGGGGATCTGCTTTAAATTTGTTAAACCGAACGATGCAGCCGTGAAAAGATCCCAACTCTTTGTGTGCTATAGGCAAACGGCTTGACCACTTGGATACAGAAATCCCTTAAACTCCTAAACTAGGTTGTGAAACTTCATGATCGCCTTTATTTTTATCGGCGTTCATCGGTTGTAAACTCCGGCAGAATGTTCTGGTTTGTTCGTCCACTTCTGAACTTTGGTCTTGTATCAGAACTACTCAACCGTTTTACAGATCTAGCTTTTTTTAATATGTACGCAGACTATTGGTTTCTTGATTCTCAGGCACAGGTGCACCCACTTCGAAGGAAACCTCTAATAAGTCGACTCTTACGACATGCTTGTTAAGAAGCTGTGTTGTTAAGCGTATATGTATACGTTGGTTTCTTTTTCCCCTATTTTTTTCTCTCTTGTTAGTTCTACGCGCGATTACTGCTTGATTTCCTTGTGCATGAGACACAAACGGATGAAAACAGACAATATATCTGTCACAATGTGTGAACAGATCATATCACCTTCTTGAACCACCATTGTTGACTGACGCCCAAAGCGCTTATCTCAAGTACACAGTTCAGTTTATCGGCTCTAACTTGCATGTTAGCACGGATGTGTTGGCGTGTGTAGTTCACATTTTCACAATTAATACGTTCCTTTTTCTTTTCGCCAAGATACCGACTCGGTGACCTACATAGTTGCACGACCTGGGGAGACGCGACAAGCAGGCCAGTTGATAACACAGATTTATGTTGGTGCTATCGGGCTGTGTGTATATTCATGTGTCTGTGGGGAAGGGAAAGGGGTAAGAAGTCCCACACATAATAAAAGTCAAATCCTGTTCAACCTTTCGGGCCTTAATTGGGATGCAAGGGTAGCCCCATGCTAGGATAGTTCCGTGACAGGGTCGTTTTTTGTGTGTGGTTGGGTAGCCTCATGTAGGTAGCCTTTTTCTATGGTAGCCCCATGCTAAGGTAACCACATGCTAGGGTAGCCCCATGCAAGTGTAGCTCCAAACTACTGTAGCTTCATACTAGGGTAGCCCTATTCTGGGTAACCCCTTGCAAGGATAGCTCCATGCTAGGGTAGCCCCATTCTGGGTAACCCCATGCTAGGTAGCCCCATACTAGAGTAGCCCTATGCAAGGGTAGCCCCATGCTAGGTAGTCACAAGCTAGAGTATCCCTATGCAAGGGTAGTTCCATGATAGGGTAGTTCCATGCTAGGTAGACCCATACTAGGGTAGTTCCATGATAGGGTAGCCCCATGCTAGAGTAACCCCATACTAGGGTAGCCGCATGCTAGAGTAGCCCCATACTAGGGTAGTTCCATGATAGGGTAGTCCCATGCTAGGTAGCCCATTCTAGGGTAGCCCCATACTAGAGTAGCCCCATGCTAGAGTAGCCCCATATTAGGGTAGCCCCATGCTAGAATAGCCCCATACTAGGGTAGCCCCATGCTAGAGTAGCCCCATGCTAGAGTAGCCCCATGCTAGAGTAGCCCCATGCTAGAGTAGCCCCATACTAGAGTAGCCCCATGCTAGAGTAGCCCCATACTAGGGTAGCCCCATGCTAGAGTAGCCCCATGCTAGAGTTGCTACACACTAGGGTAGCCCCATGCTAGAGTAGCCCCATACTAGGTTAGTTCCATGATAGGGTAGCCCCATAACCACTATAATACTACACTAAGCGACAGAGGACCGAGTGTTACACCAAACTGATGAGGGAGGCCGTTAGGTCGCTCGAATTAGTGCTGGGTTTAGGCATAGGCTAAGAAAAAAGCTACCTATTCGGGCCGCACAATATGAAGAGGCCTCAATCCCGACCCAATTTTTTCAAATTTTATTATATTTCTTTCAAATTCTATAGCCTTTGTAAACTGAATAATATAATCAGCTTTATATAAGTGAACATCCATGTTTTATGTGATTACGAGTGTTTGAGGTCCCCGTTCAAACCCCGGTGGGGGCTGTGATTTTTTTTTCACCTGGATATTTAGTAATTTCACTGGTCTCTGTCTAGTAAGACCGAACGCCGTGTGTACTGCTGCGCACGTTTAAAATCCTTTGGCAGCCGAAAATCGAAAAGAGTAGCCTGACGTCGCTGCACGAGCTAAATTTGGAGTTAAAAATCTACCCAGAGTATTTCAGGATCCTCCCCGGTGCTACAGAGCCTGTGCACTGTGCTGAGCTTCTTCGGACTCAGACCTGACTTAGAAGAAGAACGTATCACTTATGGGTTACTACCCGTGTGCCATGATGTTGATCCGTTGTTTAAACCTCAAACCTCAATACAGTTATTATGCCCCGAGGTCTCCCACCGCTGTCGACATAAATGTGTTTGAGTATGTGTTCGTGTGTGTGTGTGTGTGTGTGAGAGAGAGAGAGAGAGAGAGAGAGAGAGAGAGAGAGAGACAGAGAGTGTGTGTATGAGACTGAGTGTGTACTATGGGTGAGTGTATATATAAGTCCTTAAGAAAGAGAATAGGGGCTTTTGAACTGAAATGCTATAGAAAGATTTTCAGAATATCTTTGACGAAAAAGAGGAGAAACACTGACATTTTGAAAGATCTGAAAATCAAGGAAGATTTGCTAATAAACAGCATCCTGTCTTGAAAGCTGAAATATTTTGGTCATATCAAGCGCCACGACGGATTGGAAACAATTATAACAGAAGGCAAGGTACCAGGAAGGAGGGGCAGGGGCCGACCAACACGATGATGGGCACAGGATATAAGTGACTCCTTGAGGCGTAGGAGCTGGCGAGAGACTGAGTTTCTTTCAGGCAGACCGTGATGGGAGCAACGTTCTGCAAAGGACCTGCTACATGATAATGCATGTATGTATTCCATAACTCTTGCGGCCATTTATTCGCCCTGATAATGTATCCAACCTTTCCTTACACTAACGATATTGCCACATGCCCACTGTCAATTAAAACTAGAGTATATACTATTATTTACCACACATAATCACAGTCATTAGTTGCTACAGCAAGAATAGAAGCATAGAACAAGTACTAATTGGAGTTGTAAGTGCCCGGAACACCGGAACAATAGACATTTTCCGACCATAGAAGTGGGTGGCATTAATACAAGTCCGCGTGGGCTGCAGACTCAAATGTTGACAGACGTTGCAGAATGTCGTGAATACTAACAGTTCTGAAGTACCAGTCACGATGAAATGATACTTATGTTTCAAATAGAAATATTGGAAATTGTCTAATGCTCGTCTAACTCATCGCAACACCGGAAAAAAAAAGAGAACCACAAATCAAATGTATGGAGCTTATCAAACGAAGAACTAAATCGAAAACCTGACATGATGCGAGATAATACTAGGCAGATGCTGCGAGGAGAGACATGGGGGCAGAAAGATGTACACGGGAAAAAAATTAAACAAATGGACAAGAAATAACAGTAAAAACAATACTAGGTCATCAGAATTCCAAATAATAAAGAGGACTGAACCTTCAGTAAAAGTGATCAAGCAGCTTAGGACAGAAAAAGATGCTTGCTCAAGGCATCCGTGACATTTTAGCAAGGACAGTCTCCGATGGACGACAGATTGATACAGGAGATTTAGGCGATCTAAGGAAGCTGGAAAAGGACAGGAGAAAGGGAAATACGGCAATGCCGAATGACATGGGTTACCATGGGCAGAAATGTAGTAGACAGCAATGCAAATCACTGGCGACTGTATTATGTGTCTACACCGAAGAGGATGGATAGTCTAAGAAACCAAGGTGGTGTATTGGTGGTTTATTGGTGGTGTGTTGGTGGTGTATTGGTGGTGTGTTGGTGGTGTATTGGTGGTTTGTTGGTGGTTTATTGGTGGTTTATTTGTGGTTTATTGGTGGTTTATTGGTGGTTTATTGGTGGTTTATTGGTGGTTTATTGGTGGTTTATTGGTGGTTTATTGGTGGTTTATTGGTGGTTTACTGGTGGTGTGTTGGTGGTTTATTGATGGTGTATTGGTGGTGTGTTGGTGGTGTGTTGATGAGTTATCAGCAACGTCTGGGATATATGTCCAGCTATTTTTGTTTTAAAGATACAGCCCGGAAATGGCCCACGTTTTCTGTATGGGCTCTATAGTCATTTTGGGGCGGAAAGGGTTGGGGAGGGGGGGGGGGTAGACTACTGCCCCCGAACAAGCCTGTGGTAACAAGCAACAAATTTACTGATTTGATGAAATCGAATGTGTTGGATAAGAAAAAACGCATATATCACAAGGTTTCTATAAACCACAACATAGAGTAGGAGGTTGCCCTTTTCAGGACGGGCGCAGCAGAGAAGAAGAAGAAGAAGAAGAAGAAGAAGAAGAAGAAGAAGAAGAAGAAGAAGAAGAAGAAGAAGAAGAAGAAGAAGAAGAAGAAGAAGAAGACGAAGAAGAAGAAACATGTGTCAAGCCTAGTAAAGTCTGCTTCCTAAATAAAATATACACAATAAAAATTTGTGTTAGTGAATAAGCTTCGCTGTTACTGGTAGAAAGAAGTAGTTAACATCGGGCACGCTACATCTGCTAGCAGAATAAAGTATTGATGACAAGAGAGTGCGCAACGCTACTGAAAACAGCGTGAAGTAATGATAAGAAGAGGGTACGCTACGCTACTGCAAGTAGAGTGAAGCAATGAGTATCGAGCACGCCCAGCTACAACTAATATAGTGAAGCATTATTGCGTACAAAGTATACTAAGCTGCTACCAATAAAGTAAAGTAATGAGTATCGAGCATGTCATACTACAACTAGTAGTGTGAAGCAATGATGAGCAGAGAGTACGCTACGCTACTACTAGTAATGTGAAATAATGAGTATCGAGTACGTCATACCACAACTAGTGGAGTGAAGCAATGATAAGCAAACAGTAGGCTACGCTACTACTAGTAATGGGAAGTAATGAGTATCGAGCACCTCATATCACAACTAGTGTAGTGAAGCAATGACGAGCAGAGAGTACGCTACGCTACTACTAGTCAAGTGAAGTAATGAGTATCGAGCACGCTATACCACAATTAGTAGAGTGAAGCAATGACGAGAAGAGAGTACTCTACGCTACAACTGGTAACCTGAAGTAATGAGTATCGAGCACGTCATATCACAACTAGTAGAGTGAAGCAATGATGAGCAGAGAGTACGCTACGCTACTACTAGTAACGTGAAGTAATGAGTATAGCTTTTGTAGGAAAGTAGTAAAGCAATGACTAGAAAACACGCTACACTACTACTACTGGAGTTATGTAATACTAGTTACAACATTACGCTACTAAGGTTGAGTGATGACTAGCAAGTATGCTACACTCTACTAGTGGTCGGAAGTGAGTAGCGAACAGGCTACGCTACAATATTTGGTGTCATGTAATGAGTAATTAATGAATCTTTGTTGATCAGTTTAGCCAGGAAATGTCGCCTTTGTTTGAGCATTGGTCTGCTTGCTACAAATGAGTTATGTGTTATGTTCAAGGGGATTTTCTTCTTCTTCTTCTTCTTTTCTTCTTCTTCTTTTCTTCTTTTATTCTTCTTCTTCTTTTTCTTCTTCTTCTTCTTCTTTGTTTAATCTTCTTCTTCTTTGTTTAATCTTCTTCTTCTTTGTTTAATCTTCTTCTTCTTTGTGTCTTTCTCGTTTTGTTTGAAAACAATTGGCTAGAGAAAGACATTTTCAGAAGTGTCATGAATAGAACGATGTTCTGTAAAGGACAGGCTGATTGATTAGAATTAATATAGAACTTGCATTATTGGTGCACATAAGTTTTACAGACCTGGCTTAACTTTATGCAAGCTGTTGGTTCCTCGATGCTCAAACGCTCACCAACTTCAGAAGGAAAATCCCCAATTTTGCGTTTTTTACGACACGCATGTTGAGGAGGCAGTGGGTCTATTCTCCCCCCCCCCCACCCCACCCCACCCCAACACAATGGTGCCATGGAACCCACCTATGATTTATAAATTGTCTAGATGGTTCGGTCATGATGGCTGTTCAATCACTCGCAATGAATGGACGGGTTTGAGTCTAGTTCTACCTGGGTTCAACATTTTGTGGGCCAAAAATCACCGGTCAAGTAAAAATCAAGGGTATGTTTCAGACTAGGCCGATGTCCAGTCAGTCATAAGTTACAGTAACCATACAGCTGACCTGACTGACCTTTAGGTGCTTTGTCCTCTGCTCTAGGAAATACGAATTGACCGTATCATTTTTTTATGGGGATGTAGGCAAAAATTAGTTGTACAAATTACTAGAAATTTCGTCCATGTTTCACCAGGCCGTATAAGGGAAGCTAAGGACAGTAAAATTGAAAGCTACCATTCATGGCGTAAGAGGGAGTAAGGAGAGTTTTTGATGTGAGAATGGCTACACCAACCTTAGGAACACATTAACTGCTACATGAAACCAAATATGGAAAATGTCTGCGCAACGCTTAGTGTCAAATGAGTGAGGGTGTGTATTCTATTTGGAGGTGAAGAACAGTAGCGGGGGAAGATGCGCTGAGAGAAAAATAGTCAGATAATCATAACTAAAAACTTTAAGGTCAATGATAATGTACTGAAGGAGACTGATCTATGTGTTACCTAGCGCCGTATTTAGGTATGTGCGGCAACAATTTAGGAGTCGGCTAATTTCTGAGGGCGGCAAAAAAAATTTACAAGTAGTTAAAGTGTTGACAAAGAGGAGGCGTCAAATATATCACTGCTTAGGGGCCTCACACATGTTAAATATGGGCCTGGCTGTAGCCAACAAGATTAGACAACTGTTGCCTAATCGTCTCATGTGTTTTGTTGGTGTTGAGATGGAATGACTTTTAGTATGGCCTTTTCAGTGTTATATCAGATGATAAGTAGTCATGTAGAGACATCAGATGCCCACACTAACCTGTCTCCCACCTACCTTCCCTCCGCATGCCGGACTTGAGACATTTTTTCAACCGGCAATATTGACACTGGTTCCTGTGATGCTGGTCAATGGGGCAGTTCCGACTGCCCCTGCACGTATAGGTCAAGTTTCTGCGTACGCTCCGTTTGAAGAAACTCTTGCATCCCTCACAGGTAAACTGGCCATAGTGTTTCCCAGAACTCTTGTCCCCACAAACCACACACTCGATTTGCTGTTTGTTATTGTTGTTTTCTGATGTGTTTGAATTAGGCGTGCCGCCGTTGTGGTGGTTACCCCCAGGTGGGGAGCCTGGCGGTAATGGGTCAATGGTAGTACAAGATGTAGGCGTCACCGCGGAGTTTCCTCCAGCTTGACTAGAAGGTAAGTTGATCAGAGCTGAATGGCCAAGAGGGTCATCTGATGGCTCTCTCCAAGGAATAATTGGGGCATTCTGGGTTGGTGGCATGTCCATACTTCTCACTATACTAATAGCCATAGAAACAGTGACGCACTGTTAGTTCAATCTTGGTAGGTACAACTGATACTCACTGTTATTTGGAATAAATGATTAAACACAACACATCATTATGTTAGTACACGACCTTTGTGTTCTAGTACATTCACAATTTAAACTCTGTAATGAATAAAGAATCCACAACTGCACAAATATGTCCTGGTTTCTGGTGGTACAAGTTATGTAATGAACAGTAACGCTAACATTAGAAATAACACTAACACGGTCGTTATCAGTAACTAATCCTCTATGTGCGCGTCTGCATGAAGTGGGCCAAAGGCCTTTTTCTTAGTGTACGTTCCTCCAGTCGACATCGGAAACTGAAAAATCACCACAGATCTTCAAGTCTACACATCAGAGACTAGTGCTAGTATTTCCCGCCAGTGGAGTGACAATTGCTAGACTGTGCGAGGATAAGTCGAGGACCACAAAGTCTTCCCGCTGACGTTACGCAACACGGTACAGCTTCGGCAAGTTGAAAGGAGGTTGAGAAACTGGTGAGAGGTTGTGAACTCCGACACCACTAGTAAGACAAGTAGCAAAGTTAGTGGCTGGTGCAACCCTTATAAGGGCGGACAGTGTCAGGAGGTTTCTTGCCTGGAGTCGGCGACTGACAATTAGCGAGGTCTGGTCGTGGCCCCCTAGCGACTCGGTGGGCCTTCCCCATAACTGTGAGCGGCCAGAGCTCATTGGCTGCGCCAGCCTCTCGCCAGACACCGGGCCGTGCCAGATTATACGGTCGTTTGTTATCCGCGCCCGCCAGCGGCGCTGAGTAGCGGAGGTCAGGCGCGAATCGGGCCAATCGCTGGCAGTACGCACCAACAGAGGAAGGGCAAACCTGTATATTAGCCCCATGACAGGGCGGATACTTGCTCTCTCTCTCTCTCTCTCTCTCTCTGAGCGTCTAAATCATTACCCACACCTTGGACAAAAGCGGCATTCGACTTGTGTTTGCTGAGCCTATGTTGGTGCGATGTCCACGTTTCTCCCTTGTACACCCCCGCCCCTTTCTTTTATTAATATGCAACAGCCCCTGCTCCCATTTTTTACAGCATCTACGCACAGCCTCCACCCCCTGCGACTATGAATCAATACAAGATCGAATCCACAATCCACGAATCGTAGCCGCTAAGATGAATGTCGGAGATACAATCACCGCGGCAGCGCTTTGAATTGCGGATTGTACATTTGCATGTTGCTCACATCAACGTCGCGTGCTCACATCATTGAGTCCCATATGGTCAGTGGTCACTAGAAGCGCTCATTCTCATGATAATCTGCCAACTGAAAGCATATTCACCGCTGCTCGGCCACACAGAGATTGACGAAGAAATAAATGTCGCAGAGAATGGCACACGCCGTTCGTCTGTGAATATAATCATGGACTCGATCGCCATCTACCAGGGGACTTGTCGTTGTGTGGTTTTATAAAGTGAAGTTACAAACAAGCGTATTGTCGTGTGCCATGCCGATAAGCGTAGATGGCCAAAAACTGCTATTTCAGATGAAAACCAGAATCTCGAATCACGTCTGTGATTTTGTCCAGATAATTTCAGATGACGAAGCGATACAGTAAATTATGTCTGTTTTCTTGATTCTCCCCCTCCCCATATCATCTCCTTATCGCGTCGTTATACGTCACACAGTGATACTTGTAAAAAAAAAAAAAAAAGAATTTACCCTAATTGACCGGAAGTCTAGTGCAAAGATAGTATAGAAAGTCTAAACGGAAGATGTGTAGAAGATGAATGTATAAAAAATCTCTTTTCTAAACATCTTCTGTACTTTCGATTTTTTCAAACATATCAACATATTTGTTTAAAAGCCGGCACATTATTTTTAAGTTAGTAACGTCTCCTTTACAGGGCCTTGTAGAACCAGCCGGAGCATTTTTTGGCTGTTGTGGTTTATATAGGCAAATTTACATCCAGTAGTTTGCCATTCTTTTTTGGACGGTCTGCTTCTCGATACAACAGTCGAAACCAACGCAAGGCGTGAGGCACTCAGCTAGGATCGAACCCAGCACCCCGGCATTACTAATTGCGTTTGCAACGCCTACGCCACAGACGCCGACATATTATTATTATTTAAAATATAATGATTAAAAACAAGAATAGATCCACTGCTTATCAAAAAGCATGTCGTAAGAGTCGACTAATTGGGAGCTTCTTTCGAAGTCGGAGGGCATCTGCCTGAGAGGCAAGAAACCAGCAGTCTACATACAAATGAGTCAGATCTGTAAAACGGATGCACACACAACACTCAAGATTCTGGTACAGGACTGCAGTCCAAAAGTGGAAAACAACCAGAACTTTATGGCAGAGTTTACCGCTGGTGAACACGAAGAAAAAGATTAATAATAATTATTATTTTCCAACCTTCCGCTTGACTTATGTACCTTGAAGCCACCCCTCCCCCCCCCCCCCTTTTCTATCCCCACCCTACGCCATTTTCTCGTTTTAGAAAGTGTGAAGATTTTAACAACGAATCAACATCATGACACAATGGTAGTAGCCCATAATTACTTCGTTCTACTTCTAACTCAAGCCTGAGTCTGAAAAATCTCAGCCCAGTGCACGAACTCCGTAGCACCGGCAAGGATCCTGAAATACTATAGTTAGATTACTGACTCAAAGTTTTGCCCAGGCAGCGCCGTCGGGCTATCTTTTTGATTTCCAAAAGCCAGCTGGGATTTTTTTACGTGCACGACAATACACACGGGCGTCGGGTCTTACTACCCTGGGACCAGGGAAAATTACTAGAGATCCATGTAAATAAAATCCCAGCCTTCACTGAGGCCTGAGCCCGGAACCTCTAGCACCCGAGGCGGACGCTAATTCCCGAGACCACTCAGTCCCCCTCAGAAACTATTTAAATGAACTGAGCGCGACCCCCCCCCCCCCCCCACCTCTCATTTTTAGCCGCCTACCCTCCCAAACGTTTCTCCCTTTGACACCCCTGGTCCCCTAACTGTTCAAACTTCATTATGTCAAGGAACAGGCTGCATTTGCCTTCCTGTATGTATTCACCGAGCTCCGTGGCTCTAAACCTTCCTAATGCGCGACCTTTCAATATAGTTCCTCATGTTGTGGCCACCCCCAGTCATACAATTATTTTCGTTGTTACTTCATAACTAATGTGAATATATGTGTTTTCCGATGTTATTAGGCAACTCGTGTGAAAGGTCGTTCGACGCACAAGAGGGTCGCCACTCACAGGTTGAGAACCACTGACCTAGCTAAAGTTTTTTAAAGTCGTCATATTTTAAAAACACAATTTTGGCTGGATTCAGATTTGAACCCGCGACTCTCGGGTCCGTAGGCGACCTCAGAGTGCGACGCAAGCGGCTAAATCACTTCGCTTTTAAGAAAGTAAGGAAAATAGAAAGACAGACAGACCCACAAACAGGAAAAGGTGCAAAAAAGGGGGGGGGGGGGGGGTCAGTTTTTAGCAGTCAACAACAACTGCTTCTAGGTCCCTATTTTTGGAATAGACCCACCGCCCCTTAAAAAAGCATGACATAAGAGCGACACGAACGAACGCCGAACAAGCAGAAGTGGGCTGGTAAAGGAAAGAAGAGGGAATATTTGGGTGGAGCAGAGCTGTATCAGTATTTGTAATTATAAGCCCATATGGATCACGTCTAGCAACATGTGTGTTCTGTGTTGCAGATTCGCAAGTGTTATCTTCTCCCTCTGTGATAAGCTTGAAATGTGA